TTTTAATTTTAAGATATTTTATATGTAATTTAAACTGTTTCCTCTCTGTTTTATATTTGTAGCACTTTGGTCAACATTGTTGGATGTAAAGTGCATTATAAATAAAGATGCTATGCTATGCTATGCCTTGTGGATGAGAGGTGAAACGTCATTACAAACTTAAAGTCCAGCTCTTAAGATTGTTATGACCTTTATAATTGAGAAACTGAACAGATCTAATGCTACATATTTAAATTTGTATTGCACCAAGCATGCCTGTTTACATGCACAAGGTATTTGCATCAAGGTGCAAGAGTTTTCTGTTATATTAGGGGTTTATTTAAAATCAATCTAAAGATAAAACATCAAAGAAATTAAAATTAAAACTTGGTGAACAAAGGCAGAACAGAATCTCAGCAGTGACAGGATTTAGGACAGGACCCTCCGGAGTCCGGACACTGGTGGTGGTGAACATGAAGACTGAACCTTGAATATAGCTCTGGCTGAGTTGGAGATGGGGAGGAGGTGGGATGCATAAAGAAGAGTCTTAAAGGAAGAATGATGGAAAGCACAGATTTAAACCATGCAAAGTGAAGGCTAATTGGTTCAAAGAAGGCAGGCGAGAAGATGATTGGACTACAGTAATGATGTCAGTATTGAGAATGTGGGAAAGCAGTGGTCATGAAAAGAACAGAAGAGGAGAACGGTCTAGTGAGTGGAGCTTCTGGACCAGAACATAGGAGGAGCTCTGCTTCTTAAAGACTACTTTGTGCTTCTGTTCAGCTCACTACAGCAATCTGTGAGGCTCATCTACCCGTCTGCTCCTACTCCCACCTGTGACCACAGACACTGACAACTTCAACATCTTCTGGGAACACACACAATTATTTAAAGACAAAAGTGTAAATCAATTGATTTTATTTTGAAATTCGGAGTTTGTTGAAGCTGTTTCCACAGTTTAAACTGGCATCGTGCAGTTTTTCTTCTCACCAGCAGAGGGCCACAAATCACCATCAATGAAGTTCAAGGAGATGTTAGCGACATCAGAGCTGTGCTGAACATTTGGGGGGGGTGTCAAGATCTCTAAATAAATAAATATAAATAAATCTGGGTAAATTCCCAGATGCTTAAGCATGCAACTATTTTGTTGCTAATGCCTGAAATGAGTAAAGAAAGTCAAAAGCCTATTTATGCAAGATAATTCATAATTTTATTGTGGGGGCTATATTGGTTGGGTCTGATTATTGGGGGGTACGTATTGATCTTATCAATATGGAAGTTCATGTCTCTTTAATTGGATCAGTTTTCAAAAGCAGCTGTTTTTGACAGAAACATGAGAAATGCTTAATGTCTTTAATATTTTATACATTGAGTACTGTTGGAGTATGGAGCATGGAGCATCCAAACAGCATGTCTGTTCTCAGAATTTGACAACAAATTAAAGCAAAAACCATTCAAATGTGCTCTTAATATGAAAATCTGTTCGTTGAGAGCTTCTTTCCTGTCCTGCTTAAGTGAAACAGTAAGAGCATGTGGTGAGGTTGGAAAAATCGGTGTGGAAAAATGACAGTCTCATTTGTGTTTACACTGTGAGGTCTGAGCTCAACACTTCCTGTTTGCTAAACCCGATTTAAATACATTCGGCTCAGTTATCAATAGGAACATTTATAGAATCAGTCACCTGTCAACGCTGCTTCCTGGAGTCCCTTTCTTTCATTTTTCCATGGTTTCCCTCAGTAACCAGACTGTCCCTGCCTCCCCAAACCCCAACTGAGGTCGGACTTTAAAGTCGTCATGAGACAGCTAAAGGTTTAGTCCATGAGCACTGTCACCATGGAAACGTCACCTCTGAACAAACATAAAGCTGACTGATCGTTCATCAGCTTTTGTTTTCTAGCGTCTCTTCCGGCGGTGCATGTTTGATTCCTCCACAATAAAACCCCCCTCCCTGTCACACTGCGGCGTGTCGTGATGCGTTCACTGTTAGGGAACGGCCCACCTGCGGCTCACCTGCCAGCCCGTCTCGTGTGTACATCAGGGTCCGGGAGTTAGCAGCGCCTTCTCCTCCAAGGGAGCTCCGATAAGATGGCGGATTAACGAGCTGACGTTTATTTCACCGACGCTGCAGTGACGGTTAGTCCCTGCGGAGGGGTGCGGGATCAGATGCGGGATATTTACGGTTTTCCGGCTGAGGTTTTCCGGTGGTGACGCCGGCAGACGGCTAACTTCAGCTCTCTGCTGCGGCATCTCGGCCGAAGCCGCTCCGCACGTCCTCTGACCGCAAAACCGCAGGGGCAGGATCCCGGTTTTGACACAAACCCGGGTTTATCAGGGGTTTTATTGGTTCCAACTGTCAGGTTAGTGCACCGAGGACTAAAGGGGCCCTTTGTGGATAATTCGGGCGCAGGTACACCTCTGAGTGATGCGAACTGCGGGACTCTGATCCCGGAGAGTCTAACTGCAGAATCACATTACAATCGCCTTTTTTCTTTGAAGATAGCCCGGTTTATTTTGGATAATCTCATTCTAAACTTGAAGTGGGTAGATTCAGGACTGACGGGGGCCTTTGTGGATAATTTGGCTCCAGGTAAAATCCTCCTGGGCTATGGAGACATGAGATACGGGCCGGACCAGGAACCCGACCGGAGAGAAGCGGAGCCTGCAGCGGAGCCTAGCATCAAGAAAACCAGTTTTTAGTCTCCATCCGGCTTATTCAGGATTTTTTTTTCAGCCGCAGATTTTGAGCCGCATGTCCCGGACCACGGGGGGTCTCTGAGGATCATCCGGAACCATGGGGACTCAGGGACCGGGCCGGAAGAGGATCCCGAACCGGGAGAAACTGACCGGAGAGGACGATGCACTGAACCAGATCGCCCGGGAGGTGAGGATGTTTATTAATAGACCCGCTGGTGTCGATTTGATCGATCAGGGGGAGAAATTTACATCAGAGAAACGTTTCTGTGAATCACAGCTGGTCCCAGCTGTTTAGGGCCCAGGGCCGCACACTGCTTAGGGGCCCCTCTGGACCCCGGCCAAGACTTTATTTCACAGCAGAAGATCAGAAGCATTAAATTATTACAGTAAAATATTAATATATCTGAGTAACGTCTAAAAAATTAACATTTTAAAATGTGTTTACATAAAAATAATAGGAACAAATCATGAAATTTTTACTCAATTTGAAAGTGAAATGATAGAATTACAGTATAATTTGTGTTCCAATAGTTTGATACTTCAGAGTGTACAGTTTTACTTTCAGTATGTCACAGATCTGTAGATCTTTGGTTCCTCATATTTTCCATCTGACTGTGACATCAGTGGATGGTGTATGGAGTCTAAATCGAGATTAAATCAGGAGATCTGCTGCAGGTCACGTTTGGTGTCACATCTGAGCTGTTTGTAGTAAAGACCTGATGATTGTGATGATGATGATAATTGGGAGGAAAAAATGTGAGAACAAAAGTGTGTCGCCCTGGGTGCTCAAGCTGGAAACTCAGACTGATGTTGCAGATTGACTGCTTTCTAACTCTGAGCCCTGACTATAATCTGTTTTTAGTAAACTGTCTGTTTCAGGTGATAGAACTTGGTATCAGACACTTTTAGTACTTGACCTGGGTTTATAGTGACCAGAGGTGATCTGAAAATAACAGACTGCATATCACCAATTGGCTGCACAGTAACGTCACTTGATCAGTTACGAGAGCACCTCCTTAACAAAAATCAAAACTGCCATTTTTGAAACAAAGGACTTCACTGGAAGTTATTTGATGTAACAACTCCACACACGTTAGGTACTACTCGACTATAATGGAGTAACGCCTATGGTATAGTTCAGGGGTATCAAATGTAAGGCCTGGGGACCAGAATTGGCCCAGCAAGGACTCTAATCTGGCCAGTTTGATGGATTTGGAAGATGTGAAGGACAAAATGTTGGATTGGTAACTGTATTTTTTTTTTTTTTTTTTTTGTGCTGTCAGAGTTAATCTTGTTAAAATGACGTTGGACAGCGGTAACACATTAACTAGCTAACCGCGCTAACGTGTTGATAATGTGCAGCCCCACATACAGGGTGATCCACGATAACTCACTAACGGAGATTTGCCGCGTTAACGTTAACGTCATTTTCACGAGATTAACACTGACAGCACTAGGTTTTTTTTTTATGATAAATTTGAAGTGTGGCAGCTTCAGCTGTAATTGAAAAGCTACATAGTCTCGTCCATGTGCATTAGTTTGTTTCGTTATGTTAGTAATTCTGTTAATATTCCCTGTGTATGTACTGCCAACTTTAAAACGCAGTGCAGGGTGTGTAGTTACAAATGTAACACATTTTTGGTTTTAGAAAAGAGAAGATGAATGGAAATGAAGACAACTAAAAACTGTGTGCCACTGATCACCATCATGATTGGTTATCACACTAGTCTGTTGCAGCACTTGGGTCCCATCACATTGCAGGAAAACAGCATCTCTGCATATCTGCAGTACAAACCAGTTTAACTATGAGGGCAAGAACTCGTAAGTCATGATGCAGGCGAGATGCTGATTTGCTCTCGTTGCCCGGTTCTGGTCAGAAGCTTTCGTGGATGTGGAGTAAACATCCTTTCATCCAACCCAACACTTATCAGATTCAATGAAAACTCCCAGCATGTGTCACACCTCACTGTGGAGCTTGTTTTTGTTGTTGTTGCTGTTGCTCGGTTGTGGTTCTTCTCTCAGCGGGTGGTGGCGCTAGCTGTGGAGCCTCACCCTGAAACTGGTTTGGCCACATTCAGTGAGCCTGAAGCACGTACACACACACACACAGCCTTTAAGCTGTGTGGGTGTGTGTGTTTCTAATCAGCAGTGTGGACACTGTTAAATCAGGCTTTTTTTTTTTTCACTGGAGTCTGGTGTGACACAAATACCAACGTTTTCCCTCCCACTGACCTACTGGGAGAACAAACACACACTCTGTACGTGTGTGTATATGTGCAACCTCTCTTAATCCCCTGCTGAAGCACAAACATTAATCTGCATTTCAGCAGTCACAACATGACGAGCCCACTCATCTTCATCACCAGCAGACTCATCATCACTGCAGTGTAAAGACAAGGACTCTTGTACATGTTTAAATATACCATCAAATTCATGTTTGATAAAGTAAAATGTTTTTAAAACCAGTAAAAGTATAATATTCAGGAGTTTATAAGTACAAAATAAACTGGTGGTACTTTTTATTATTTAAACACTAAACTAGTATTTTTATCATTTAAAAAAAAAAAAGATTAATTCAAATTGTGAAAAATCTTTCCAAAAAATTAGGTACTTTTATTTTTACAATAATGAATGTTTAATATAATAAAGTAATTGCATTAAAATATAAATATTTTGTAGGCTGTAGCCGCGTTTGTAGGCTGATTACGTTACAGTGACACGTCAAAGGCTGTCCAAACTCGAAGACTTCTCCAAATGCATCCGACAAATGCATCCTTAATTTCCCCAGATTTGAAGGCTGGGTTGGGCGTAGGGCTGCCATGATTAGTCGACTAGTCACGATTATGTCGACTATCAAAATCATCGACTAATTTAGTCTTCGACGCATCATTTGAAGCTTTGTAAGATCCCAAAAGACACAGGAATAAGTAAGTAGCAGGATTTAAGAGTGTAATAACGGACTGAAACAGAAGATGGCAGCACTGCGTGTATAAGGATGCCAGCTGCCGCTAAACCCCAAAGAAGAAGAAGCAGTGTCGGGTAGGGCTGGGCGATATGACCCAAAATTCATATCTCGATATTTTTTAGCTGGATGGCGATATAAGATATATATCTCGATATGTATTTTTTAAAGCCATAAAGTAAGAACAAAAAGAGAGTTCTTAGTCAAAGCTGTGTCCCAGATGTCACACAGGCACTTTTATTAACATAGAGCAGATGTACATAAAATTTACTCAAAAATAAATTATGAGCATTTATTAAATAATAATGCTCCATAAATAAAAGAAAACAATGTTGTTTTTGTGCATAACAAAAAGCTCACAATTGTGCAGTCAAAATGTAAACTAAAAGACGCTGAGCACAATAACAAAGACAGATTTCACAGCTGCTCTGTTCCCAACTTGTACTGCGTGACTGACAGCCTGGAGTTTGAAATCCTCTTCGCAACCACGTCTCTTAACAGGTGCCATTTATGGTCCTTATACACAGTAGGGTAATATTACGTTGAAGCACAGTATCACTCCGCGAGGCTCAGCCGTAATGCTCCGACAGTCCATCAAGCGGTGCAGCTCCGTAGCTTACCAAAGTCGTACTAAAACATTTTTTGACAGATTGCTGAGCGCCGTGTTCCACATAAAATCGGTTCGCGGCCATCAAGCACAACCCGAATTCATACATATGGCGCGCTGTCAACTTTTGAGAAAATGAAAGGATTTTAGTCCGTGCAGCACCTCTGGGCTGCATGGCGTTAGCGTGGTTAGCTCGTTAGCGTGGTTAGCTAGCTAACACGTTGACGGCGTCCAGCCCCACGCACGGGGCGATGCGCAGTAACTCGTTAACGGAGATTTGCCGTGTCCATCTTGTCGCTTCCTGCAGGTGAAGCGATGGGGGAGGAAGGGGAGTTGTGTTCAGTGAAGGAGAGGCGAGGCCGAGTAACGTTGCGTAAAGTGGACGAAAGAGAGGCAAACTTGCGGCTCCACAAGTATAATTATAACGTAACATAGACTATATCGATATAAAGGATATTGTCACATCTTATATCTCGTATAAAAATATATCGATATTTTTTAAAAACTCGATATATCGCCCAGCCCTAGTGTCGGGTCCTCCTGTTCCCGCATTTTTAGGCCGATTACGTTACAGCGACACGACGAAGACTGTCCAAATTTGAAGACTCCGACAAATGCAGCCGACAAATGTGTCCTTCATTTCCCCAGATTTGAAGGATGGGTTGCTTCGTGGCCCAACCTATCCCAGAATTCATAGCGCAGCTCTGCTCAGTTTCCAACAATGGCGGCAGCTAGTTAGTTTTAATATTACTCTAAAATGTTATTGTTTGGCTTTTTTCAGTATTTTATTTGTTCCTAAGTAAATCGGTTTGGCTGAGATTAAAGTTATAGTTGTTACACAACTGAATAAACATCAAGCAGACAACTGATTATCAGAAGTGTGAGAAGCTCAAGAACATACTCCAGTGTCCTGTTATATTTTAGATAGCAAAGAGCAGACGGCTGGGTTTACTAAACTCCACCGAGACAATCTGCAAATTTCATTAAAAGTTTAATAAACTATCATCTTATCTTTATTTTTGGTTAGCACATACCTTAAACACTTCAAGCTGTAAGCTAATGATAGTTATATAAGAGCAGATGCATGCTGGTGCAATAAGCTGTATGTTTTACGTCCAATGGATGCATGATCTGATTAGTCGACTAATCGCAAAAATAATCGGTGACTAGTCGACTATCAAAATAATCGTTTGTGGCAGGCCTAGAGTTGAGTGTTCTCAGGTATCTCTCAGGTGTGTGCTGACAGTTAGATGGAGGGAGTGTCTCAGGTATGAAGAGAGATGGATGGACCACATTCCTTCTGCAGTGACAGAACACACAGCTTAAATGTTGACAGGTGTTTGCACACTCGGGTGTACTGTCCTTTTAAGTGGTGTCCTGGAAACAGCAGCTTTTCTTCTCTGGTAATTTAAAGTCATTTCTGATGTTGTCACAAGTCTGGACACCTTTTCTTTTTAGACATGCCTGAGCTGAGGCATGTGTTATCAGGTGATTTGTGGCAGCCAATCACATGACACCTATAGATTGATTCAGTAATTAAGACGATGTCTTCTGTGGAGTAATTGATCAGCTGGTGTCTGACTTTGATCACCTGTACTTTATAATAACGCTGTTGTTGTGCTGATAAATCTTTTTGAATGAACCTGAGAGACACACTGATGCCCCCTGCTGGACTCACCTGAGACTCACCTGAAGAATCAGACCTCAAACATTTACATCAGTTTCACATAAATATATTTACTGTTTAACATTTTCACAGTATTTTAGGTTATTTTTGCAAGTAAGATGTTGTTTTTAATTTTATTTTTTTCAGATAAAATATTTTTAGGTTACAATCTTTTTTTTTTAACTTGTATTTACATAATTATTTAATGCTTAAAATAAAAATGAAAGACTGTAAATAAGAAGTGTTTAAAAAAAAGAACAGAAAATGTTTCAAAATAAGCAACAAACTGTTTATTAAAATGTAATTTTCAGGACATTTTTATTTTATTATTTTTTTATTTGTTTTGGTGTGAATTTTTTATTTTTATTTTTATTTTTTAATTTTAAGCTTTAATGTCATTACTTTTTAGCAGCTTTAGTTTTACATTTAGAATTTAATTTAATAAAAGCAGGAAGTGGTTCAGGTTTATGGTCTCTAACAGTGACTGATGACATCACTGAGTGTATTGATTAAAGCTGAGAGGAATTTGATCGAGTTATTGATCAATGACGAACAAACAGCTGAATGAGGCTTTTATTTATTTATTTTATTTTAACTTACATTCTTATTAAAGTTACATAACATTCATGTTTTATTATCAATCACAGTTTTGGGTTATTTTTTTATTTTTTTTTTGGTGTTTATTATAATTTTTTTTATTGCTGACTCATAGCATTTGAAACCTATGACCCGGTAATTGGTTATTGATCACAAAATTTTGGCTGATGTATTGATCTCCATGTGTGTTCAGGCGGAGGCACGGCTGGCAGCTAAGCGGGCCGCGAGAGCCGAGGCCCGAGAAATCCGCATGAAGGAGCTGGAGCGACAGAAAGAGGTTAGCAGGCTTTTATTTTTTAAGAAACAATGATTATAATTGTGGTGATCAATTACTGATCAGAAAGAGAAGAGCTCACAATTTCACATGGAAACAGTTTATTTTACAAACTTGTGAAAACAGTTTGATGCAAGGAGGAAAAACTGACTTCTTCAGGCTGCATGCCGTAAAAAAAACTACTAAAGAGTAAGAATAAACAAAGACAGGAAGTCATCAAATTGTGTTTATGTGAGGTCAAAGGCCAGTCTGACTGAGCCTTTAGTCACCGCTCGGTCTGAAGTGTGGAGGTAACCCGGCCTTGTCCTGCTGTGGTGAGTCTCAGAACAACTTTATTAACAATAAATTATTACAGTGTGTCTGTTTACTGATTGTTTGTAATGATTAGTTTGTTTTCATCAGCTCTTCTGATTTTGCTTCTTATACCAAAGATATAAAAAATAAGAAAGGGCTTTGAATGACGGGTCATTGATCAGTGAGTGACTGATGAATGAGATTCAGAAAAGAGCTGAGCGTCATCAGCCTCTGACAAAGTAAAAAAACTGCTTTTGCTGTGAAAGTCGGACAAGAAGTTAAATAGTTACATTTCTATAAATGTGTAGTTACTTTGAAATTGTTGGAGACACAGACTCTGGGTTTAAAGTCTCAGCCGTTATCTCCCACTGAGCTGCAGTCTGTTTGTGTCCTCTGTCTTCATTATCTGACCCTGGACGCCCCTTTGACCTTTGACCTCTGGCTTCTCTGACCTGTTTTTTCTCTCCTCTTGTTCTTCCTTTAGCTGTTTCACAGTCATAAGGTATGAATAAGTCCTCCATTCAGCCTTAACTCATTCTTTCTTTTAGTTTTATCTTTTTGGGGGAACCAGCTGGGTAGGGCTTTGCACTAACTCCACCCAGCTGGTGTCCCCAGAAGGACAAAGCAAACAGATTTCATATTTTGTCTTTGAATAGTTGAAACTTTGTCCTTTCCCCCATTTGATCTTCTCCTCTTCCTCCTCTTCGTCCTCCTCTACAGAAGTATTACGGTGTGGATAATAAGTGGGGTCACATTGAGCAGTGGATGGTAGGACTCTGTGCGAGTGTCAGGCTGACACATGAAAGCTCCAGTGGAGATAAAGGGCCGTTTCATCATATTACCTGTGCAACAGCTCATAGTCAATCATATGACTCTAAAACAAGACTTGAGTTATAATAAAACACGGTCTAATAAAAAATACCCGTCGTGTAAGTACATAATAATTACATTTAGATAACAGTGTAGCATATTACATGAGCTGTATATGCAAAATGCAATCAATGCAATGCATCATTAGAAATGAAACAACATATTAAATGTGTATCCACAAATAAAACAGAAATGAATTTAAATAGGCGTTGTATTGGAAGTCATTAAAAAATAGAAAGTGGGCAGCACGGTGGCACGGTGGTTAGCACTGTTGCCACACAGCAAGAAGGTCCTTCCAACATCAGGCCGGGGTCTTTCTGTGTGGAGTTTGCATGTTCTCCCCGTGTTTGCGTGGGTTCCCTCCGGGTACTCCGGCTTCCTCCCACCGTCCAAAGACATGCAGCTTGTGGGGATAGGTTAATTGGATAATCCAAATTGTCACTAGGTGTGAATGTGAGTGCGAATGGTTGTCTGTCCCTGTATGTTTGCCCTGCGACAGACTGGCGACCTGTCCAGGGTGTACCCCGCCTCTCGCCCCATGACAGCTGGGATAGGCTCCAGCGCCCCCTGCGACCCTGAAAAAGGATAAGCGGAAGCGAATGGATGGATGGAAAAAATAGAAAGTAAAAAGTATCTGATTTTAGAGTTTTATAATTATAATCAATATTTTAAACAATGTAACAGAACCTGTTTTCTGTGTAACATAAAATAAACCAGCCCTTTGAAGCCTCCCATGTGACTCTGGGCTGTACACGTTAACATGAGTTACATTTAAGAGTGTCACAGTTTGAAATAAAATACTAATAATGTAATTTGTTTGATATAAATATAAAAAAAAGGAAAAATAAAATTGTATTGAAAATGCCGTAATATTATATTAAATGTTGAGTTCATATTACAGGACAGAGATCATGACAATAATTCATCAAATATTGAATTTAATTTTGTTAACACAGTGTGATTCAGCAAAAAGTTGAATAAAAGTTTAAACTTTAATGCGATTTAATGGAACGTGATGTAAGTAAAAGCAACACTGAGGTGTCTTTTATATCACGTTACACAGCATATTAAAATGTAATGAATATAAAAAAGAATAAAACAGTATTACCTTAATGTAAGCTACATGTACATGAGCACAGTTTAACGTTATGTTAAAAGTCAAATAAAACTGAGCCTGAATCCAGATGTTTGAGTGAAACCAGCTGATTTTTTTTTGTCTCTGTTCAATCCTAAAGCCTGACCCCATTTACCCAGCTCTTTTTTTTTTTTTTTTTTTTTTTTTTAAGTGCGTAACAGCAGGAGTTTTCATGTGTCAGCAGGATGCCACTGTCTGTTGTTGTTGTTGTTGTCTGTTCTGCACGTGCTCAGACAGGCTCAGATTAATGGCCTGTTTAATCCTGTCTGATAGATTATCAGTTATCATCCTCCCAGTAACCGTTCCTGCTCGCACATCTCTGCAGCTGCTGCTGTTTCACACCTGCGTCTGATTTCTGTTTAATTCTAATTAATATTAACTTTTATATTTGTGTCAATTTGCATTTATTTTTAAATTAATAGAGCATTACTTTTAACTGCTTTTTGTGTATCTTCATTTTTTATTCTTGTATTTATACTTTTACACTATGTTCGACTTATCCCTTAAGCAGACCTCTTTTATTACTTTTCTTTTCTTTTTCTTTTTTTAAAATAAGAACTACAAAATTTTTGTAGTATTTTGACAGGCTATGGTCTGTCATTTCTCCCCCCATGCTTCTTGTCTGCATGCAGCAGCCTTCATGTGTTTGTGCTTTATTAGACCATGCCAATGATGCAATAACCTGCTGTTTAACGTGTTCAGAGGACACCTGCCGCCTTCTTCTTTGGTTTCAATCTTTTAACCTGCTTTCTACTTCGTGGCCTTTCAGGAGGATAGTGAGCGGTATTCTCGCCACTCTCGGAGGCACGCGTCGGTCTGTATCTCTTTCCTGTTTTTCTGTTTCTTTATTTCTTTAACAAATTAAAAATCATGTGTGTTACCTGTCCACGCTGACTATCACACCTCCAGTTACGACTTGTGTGGAAAGGTGTATTTGGGACACTATGACATCATTGTAGGCATGGTTAGTTTCCACTAACTCACCAGGAGGTCTGAGTGTTTGGTCCCCTAAAATCTAAACACAAAGCAACATCCTAAGGCTGGATCAACATCTAAAGAACATTAGATCATCCAATAAGCTCTGGATAGTTTACACTCAGGTCTAACTCAGGTCTAGTAAAGTTTTTTTTTTAAAGTTTTTATTTATATAGCACCAAACCACAGCAGCAGTCACCTCACGACGCTTTATGCTGTAAGGTAAAGCCTGTGCAATGACAGAATCAATGACGTGAAGAACTGTGCTGTCTGTTGATGCTCTGCTTGTTTAATTGCAGATCTCTGACGATGAGGAGAGGATGTCAGTTGGGAGTCGAGGCAGCCTCAGGGTGAGTTCACATCTCAGCATTTTAACCACAGAAGAAGAGTTTACTACATAAAAACCTAGTTTTTATGGACACTGCTCAGGTTCTGCTAATGGACTGCGGCTCGTTAAGCTGCTGTATGAAGCATTTTGGTGGTAAATGACAGAGGTTGAACGTGAAGACTAGATATGAGCAGCTCGTTCAGAGCTGCAGAGCTTCATGCTGATTACTGCAGGTTATGTACAGACGGGGACGCTGCTGCGGCAGCTGTTAGCAGGAAAGAGACAGGAGGCCGATTAATAATCAATAACATCAAGAGGTTGAGTCACATCATGAGCTTGCTCATTGCGAGGTCACTTCTTGTGAAAATAAAGAGTCTGGTCGTCTCTACCTGTCTGCAGCCTTCAGCGTTTTTCTCTGATGCTCCTCGCTGCCACGGCTATAGGGTCTGACTCTCTGACATCACTTCCTGTGGTTGTGTGTAGCTCAGTAGAAGATCAAACTGAGTAGCAGTAAAGTTAGAGCAAACCTGTCTCATGATCAAACTCATTATTGACCCACATGCTGATTTCATCCTGATTAATCAAAACATTTAAGTTCCATTGATCATTAATGAGTTTGATCAGTTTTCTAAAGATTTATTTTTACATCTTGATAAAGTGATAAACAACTGATGACACCAACTCTTTTCTTTCTTCTTTCCTTCCCTCTCTACCTCCTTCCTGTGTCACCTTCACATTTAATTTTTGATCCTCTTTTTCTCTCATCTCCTTTCTTCCTTTCTTCCTTCAATCCTAATTTTTCTCCCTCCATCCTTTTTTTCTCCTTTCTCTTATTTCCCTTTCACCTGCATTCATTCCTTTTCACCCTTCCTCTTTTCCTACATCCTCTGTACCCTCCTCCTCCTATGTCCAGCCTTCGGACTACAGCGGGTTTCTGGGTTCGGGTTCTCGGGCCTCTTCCAGGGCCAGTTCAGCTCGGGCAAGCCCAGTGGTGAGCTCTCATCTCTGGATGTCTCAGTCTGACTCTGTGGCCCCCCCTGCTGGCTGCTCGCAGCCTCACTCATTGAAGTTTACAGTAAAACTCAATCAGTCATATCAATAATCAGTGTTTCTGTGTTCAGGTGGAAGAGAGGACAGACAGAGAGTTCCCAGATAAAGTGAGCCCACTCTTGATTTTATTTTATCTTTTTAAAAACATCATATGTTTTTTAAACTTGTATAAAATTTATGTTTAATATTTATTTTTTAAAAACTAAAATACTGTAATTTTACCAAGTAAATACATTTTTTGTTATTGATTTATTTTAAATGATCTGATATAAATTTGGTAATCATTTTTGTGTCAGGGCTCTAGGACGGCCTCGACGCTCTCAGCAGCCACTCTGGCCTCGCTGGGCGGAGCCTCATCTCGCAGAGGAAGCTGTGACACGTCATTCTCCGTAGAAACCGAAGCGTCCATTAGAGAGATGAAGGTCACGTTTAAAAAAAACCATGAGACAGTTTCTTTAGTGTTTGAAACAAGTTGAATTCAAGATTTAAATAAATGTGTCTCAAGCACTCATCAGTTTTAGTGCTCATGTTGAATAATGAATTAATGAATAATAAATAATAAATAAATAATTGTACAAAGTTCGTTTCAAGGGCTTTACTGTGATAAATATGAAAAAAATAAAAACCTATTTTGTGACTAGGACTCTCTGGCGGAGACTGAGGAGAAGTACCGTAAAGCGATGGTTTCTAACGCTCAACTGCACAACGAGAAGTCGACTCTGATGTATCAGGTGGAGACGCTGAGGGAGGAGCTCAACGAAATGGAGGAGCTGCTGTGGGAGACGCGGCGCCGCTGCGACGATGCACACAAGGTCACATATTTGTATACATTTATATTTGCAACCATGTTTGATATGAATAGAGTCAAAGAAAAAGAAAGTCCACGTATCATCATTATATATCATCACCGTGTCTCATTTATTTGACAAAAACTGAACCCAAATATAGAACCACAAGTGTCTCAGTCGGACTGAGGTCTGGACGTTTGTGGCACCTAACATTTCTAACGGAGATTTGCTGCCGTGCTTTGGATCATCATGCTGTTACCCAGTTTCAGCTGTGACACTAACGGCCTCAGATTTAACTCGAAAACTTTCAGTTCACTTTCTTGTCACAAGAAGGGAAAGTTGTTCAGTGCAGCAGCTTATATGATTTTGATTACAGCAGTGAAAAACATAAACATGCAATAAATACAAAAAACAAATTATTACAAAAAAAAATTAAATATACCTAAAATCTCATCTGTGAAGGTTCTCAGTCATCCAGGTCATTGTAGTTATGGATCTTCGAAAGAAAAACGTCTGGGCTTCTTTAAGTTTCTTGAAGACGTGTTTTGTTTTTTTTGGTTTTTTTCTTTGAGAGCTTTAACCTTAAATGTAAAGGCTGAAATTCTGCTTACAGGCTGTGATACATTCAGCTTTCTGAAGCACCAACACCTCTGAGATTACAGCGTTCTCAGAGTATCTTACTTCCTTGTTTCATAGCATTCTGTAACCCAGGACTGTTCTGCACATTTCACAACATGTGATCAGTAAAAAAGATTCAATAAAAAAACATTATCTTTTCTCTGAGACTTGCACGGTGTGATCTCGGGGTGAGTTTGCTGGGACGTCCTCTCCTGCCTTGAATGTTTTCCACTTGTGAATAATCTTTCTCACCGTAGAATGATGGACCTCAGATTGTTTGAAATGACCTCATAACCTTTCCCAGATTGACAGGAAGCAGCAGTTGCTTCTCTAATATCATTGATTATGTCTTCCTTACCTTCATGTTAACACACCTAAAACTTCAGAACTGCTCAAAATGCACCTTGGTGTTACCGACCCTCATAGTTCCTTTGGAAGCAGTGAGGCTGGAGTTTGTTCTTCATGAACAGTTAAATATTGTGAAATAAAGACACGGCATAATATTAGATGTGTATTACGTTTGGTACATAAAGCCTAAGCAATTTAAAGAGGGTCTTCTTTTTTTTACCATGTCTGTAATTATCTTAACTGCAGATTTGAGGATTTTTTTTTTCTCGTCTACTGTTGTTGTTTATCAGTGTGTGTTTGTGTGTGTTTTCAGGAGTGGGAGCGTGAGCGTCATGCTCACAGCTTACTGCAGTTTCACTTCAAAGACATGAAAGAAACTCTGAGAAAGACTGAGGAGCTGCTCACGGTTGGTTAACACGCACACTATGTTACTTTTAATTACAGCGAAGACATGTAGCAGAAACAGTTGAGCACACAAAGTCCAAAAAGCTCAAACTAAAGCAAAAAACAGAGATAAATATGACACCAAACGAACAAATCGCTGTTTGTAATTCATTTGACATCTTTGTAACAGTATATAAGGAAACTATCTGATAACTTTGTACACCAGTGAATTCATACACTGCATTTAAAAAATAAATAAATATATAT